TCATATTTTCAAGCATGGTGGTGGCTGCATCATGTTATGGGTATTATTGTCATCAGCAAGGACTAGGGAGTTTTATTTAGGATAAAATAAACAGAATACAGCTAAGCACAGGCTAAATCCTAGAGGAAAATTTGGTTCAGTCTGCTTTCCAACAGACACTGGGAGACAAATTCACCTTTCAAAAGGACAATATACACTAGAGTTGCTTACCAAAATGACATTGAATGTTCCTCAGTGGCCTAGTTACAGTTTTGACTTAAATCGGCTTGAAAATCTATGGCAAGACTTGAAAATGGCTGTCAAGGAATGACCAACAACCAACTTGACACAGCTTGAAGATTTTTTAAAAAGAATAATGGGCAGATATTATACAATCCAGGTGTGCAAGGTTCTTCGGGCCCGATTCCGTATTAGGATATTAAGCCTTTCTTACGCACGCCTTTCCTATGCACTTCTCAGGAGTTGGTATTCAGACTTACCTTATGAAAGTGCGTAACGGCTTTGCAGGCCTGGTCCATTGCGGGCTCTGAATAAATGTAATTCAACCGCTGAAATCCCTCCCACTTGCTGGCCAACATATTTTCTTGTGGAGTTTTCATTCAGTAGGGTTGTCAGTACATTTATCTTAAGCTATCCCTTTAAATAAGGTGTTCCTTTTAGTTTGAATTTTGTTGACAGACTCAATAGAATATATATATATATATATATATATATATATATATATATATATATATATATATATATATATATATATATATATATATATAGACACCAGGTTCAGAATATTAGGGATCAATGAAAGAAAGCCATCTAAATCTATGCATATTGGTCTCCGTTTCAGCACCAATTGGTAGAATTAATACTCTGATATTCTAGTTTATTTAGGGTTAGGAAATTATGTATGCATCATAAAAAAAAACTATTGGAGAGCCTTTACACACACAAAAAAAGAAAACGATGGTTTGATTCTGAAAATTGCCACTTCATTTCTTTAACCCATGGTAATGTTGGAAGATTAGTGTACATAAAATTAATAGGGAGAACAGTGTACAATAAATAGTAGGGTGTAATATAAACTCAACATGTAAAGTGTTGGTCCCATGTTTCATGAGCTGAAAAAAAATATCCCAAAATCGTGTGGGTGAGCGGTTTGCTGATTTCAACATTGTAAACAGAGTGCCCCTTGGTGACATTGGGGTTATGGTATGGGAAGGCATAAGCTAAGGACAATGAACACAATTGCATTTTATCAATGGAAATTTGAATGCACAGAGAACCGGGATGAGATCCTGAGGCCCATTGTCGTGCCATTCATCTGCCGCCATCACCTCATGTTTCAGCATGATAATGCACGGCCCCATGTCGCAAGGATCTGTACACAATTCCTGGAAGCTGAAAATGTCCCAGTTCTTCCATGGCCTGCATACTCACCAGACATATCACCCATTGAGCATGTTTCGGATGCTCTGGATCGATGTGTACAACAGCGTGTTCCAGTTCCATAGATTAAGGCCTAATGAATTTATTTCAATTGACTGATTTCCTTATATGAACTGTAACTCAGTAAAATCTTTGAAATTGTTGCATGTTGCATTTATATTTTTGTTTTTACAATTCTCTTATCCAAACAGATCAAATCAAATCAAATCAAATTTTATTGGTCACATGCGCCGAATACAACAGGTGCAGACATTACAGTGAAATGCTTACTTACAGCCCTTAACCAACAGTGCATTTATTTTAAACAAAAAAGTAAGAATAAAACAACAACAAAAAAGTGTTGAGAAAAAAAAGAGCAGAAGTAAAAAATAAAGTGACAGTAGGGAGGCTATATATACAATAGAATAAAGTGACAGTAGGGAGGCTATATATACAGGGGGGTACCGTTGCATAGTCAATGTGCGGGGGCACCGGCTAGTTGAGGTAATATGTACATGTGGGTAGAGTTAAAGTGACTATGCATAAATACTTAACAGAGTAGCAGCAGCGTAAAAAGGATGGGGTGGGGGGGCAGTGCAAATAGTCCGGGTAGCCATGATTAGCTGTTCAGGAGTCTTATGGCTTGGGGGTAGAAGCTGTTGAGAAGTCTTTTGGACCTAGACTTGGCACTCCGGTACCGCTTGCCGTGCGGTAGCAGAGAGAACAGTCTATGACTAGGGTGACTGGAGTCTTTGACAATTTTGAGGGCCTTCCTCTGACACCGCCTGGTATAGAGGTCCTGGATGGCAGGGAGCTTTGCCCCAGTGATGTACTGGGCCGTACGCACTACCCTCTGTAGTGCCTTGCGGTCAGAGGCCAAGCAGTTGCCATACCAGGCGGTGATGCAACCAGTCAGGATGCTCTCGATGGTGCAGCTGTAGAATTTTTTGAGGATCTGAGGACCCATGCCAAATCTTTTTAGTCTCCTGAGGGGGAATAGGCTTTGTCGTGCCCTCTTCACGACTGTCTTGGTGTGTTTGGACCATGATAGTTCGTTGGTGATGTGGACACCAAGGAACTTGAAGCTCTCAACCTGTTCCACTACAGCCCCGTCGATGAGAATGGGGGCGTGCTCAGTCCTCTTTTTTTTCCTGTAGTCCACAATCATCTCCTTTGTCTTGGTCACGTTGAGGGAGAGGTTGTTGTCCTGGCACCACACGGCCAGATCTCTGACCTCCTCCCTATAGGCTGTCTCATCGTTGTCGGTGATCAGGCCTACCACTGTTGTGTCGTCGGCAAACTTAATGATGGTGTTGGAGTCGTGCCTGGCCATGCAGTCATGGGTGAACAGAGAGTACAGGAGGGGACTGAGCACGCACCCCTGAGGGGCCCCCGTGTTGAGGATCAGTGTGGCAGATGTGTTGTTACCTACCCTTACCACCTGGGGGCGGCCCGTCAGGAAGTCCAGGATCCAGTTGCAGAGGGAGGTGTTTAGTCCCAGGATCCTTAGCTTAGTGATGAGCTTTGAGGGCACTATGGTGTTGAATGCTGAGCTGTAGTCAATGAATAGCATTCTCACGTAGGTGTTCCTCTTGTCCAGGTGGGAAAGGGCAGTGTGGAGTGCGATAGAGATTGCATCATCTGTGGATCTGTTGGGGCGGTATGCAAATTGGAGTGGGTCTAGGGTTTCTGGGATTATGCTGTTGATGTGAGCCATGACCAGTCTTTCAAAGCACTTCATGGCTACAGACGTCAGTGCCACGGGTCGGTAGTCATTTAGGCAGGTTATCTTAGAGTTCTTGGGCACAAACAGATGACTCATTTACCTAGCGCTTATCAATAGCTCTTATCAAGTTGTAAATTACAGTGCATGGAGAATAGTGTTATTTCCATCTGAAAAAATAAAGTAGATACTTTTTCCACTTGGAACCGGTAGGTTTGCTAGACCTTATTCATGTTTCCTCGCACGTAAAGATGGTGGCATTATTAGAGAATTAAGTCAAGGTCAGAATACGGCATATCTGTAGACACACCTCTGCCACACCTTCATTTACTCGATCTCTACCCAAAATGAATAGCACACTATTCTCATGCTTATGTTCAAGGTCAGAATACGCATAGAGAAAAGTGCAGAAAAAAGAATTACGTTCTATTTACGTGCTTAACTCTGGTCGGAATCTGGCCCTTAGAATTACCCAGAAAGACTCACAGATGTAATCGCTGCAAAAGGTGATTCTAACATGTATTGACTCAAGAGGTTGAATACTTATCTAATCAAGATAAAAAATTAATTAAAAAAAAAAGAATTTATCTTCCACTTTGACAAAATATTTGTGTAGATTGTTGACAAAATGAAAATTAAATCAAATTTTATCACATTTTGTAACAACAATATGTGGAAAAAGTCAAGGGGTGTGAATACTTTCTGAAGGCACTGTACCTCTCACTTGTACCATTCATTTGTAATAGCTTTAAAAAAGAATTTATATCAATTTTTTTTAAAGGCACACTGGCTTGAGATCATGAAACATTCAATTAACATTCATAAGTACAAGAATTCCAAGGCAGAATTTAGGCTCTCCCCTTCATAAAAAGTGCAAACAGAGGCAACCTATAAAAACAAGTGCAACTGCTAGGTTCATGTCAAAGGGAATGGTCTACTGTAACATATTTTTTTACATACAATAATTGAAGAAAAAAATAACACTGCATGATAAATACATCTGCAATTATGTGCCAGCATTTTCCAAACCACTTTTCCACAGTGGTTGAGAAGCACATTCTGAGACATCACCAAGTTGATGTTGAGTCTTCAAAGACATTCTCCACAGTTTACTTTAGGCTCGGTCATCCAGGACCTCCTAGAGTCTGAAACAAGGACTGGGCTCCTCAAAGGCCTGTCTTCCTATGAGTCACCATACTGCTCCATGCATCAGCCATCATCGACGTGGCATGGGGGGAGGCTTTAGTGCAATCTTATGGCTTGCTCCTCCTGAGGTCTGCTGAACACACAGGGATCAGTTAGACGGCCATCTTGAAACATGCCCTTCAATTCTGGTTTCTTAAGGAATTACCAACACAAAGTTTTGTTGTTGTTACTTTTACTTTCCTGCTATGCAATGTTTTCACGAGACAAAAAAGTACATTTTACCGCTATGAAGAATTTGCAAGTCATGACTACAATAAGTGTGTTAAATGAACACTTACTTGTGGGTATTTGATGGGTACATTTGGTGCTTTGGCCTTGACTGGAGGCACTGAGGGAGGATTGGGCTTCACTGGTGGCACTGGAACAACATGCCTGATTTTCTAACAGAACAATATAAACCAATTGATAATGAGTTCATGATTAGACTCTGTTAGTGACCATGTAGTTAATTGTTTTACAGTTGTTATACCATGTCAACATGTTATTAATTGTAATGGCTGGAATGACTCACCGGTTTGCTACTCAGAGTCGGCAAAGGCTTTGATGGAGGTAGAGGTTTAGTCTGATGAAAAATCGCATAAAGAAGATGTTTGTATAAGTTAGGTACGTTTCTAAGATTCCTGAGTTTAGTAACATGATATGTTTCAGTATTTCAATTGGCATAGCTCACCAGTTCAATGCGAGACTGTGGCAGCACTGCAGGCAAGCTCTTTGGTGTCTGTAAGACAAAATATTGCTCTCCATTTAGTTGCCATTTATTTTTCTTTCCAAATATTCTTAGTCTATCCAAAACATACCCATTTTACTTTAGGCAGGCTATCTCTACAAGTTCAGCAGCCGTTTCACACATGTTATTATTATATATATATCACATAGGAACTATATACAGCTGAAGTCGGAAGTTTACATACACCTTAGCCAAATACATTTAAACTCAGTTTTTCACAATTCCTGACATTTAACCTAGTAAAAATTACCTGTCTTAGGTCCCTGTATATAGCCTCCCTACTGTTATTTTCTTTTACTTTTTTTCTAAACACTTTTTTGTTGTTGTTTTATTTTACTTTTTTATTAAAAAATAAATGCATTGTTGGTTAAGGGCTGTAAGTAAGCATTTCACGGTAATGTCTACACCTGTTGTATTCGGCGCATGTGGCAAATAAAATTTGATTTGAGTTAGGATCACAAATGTATTTTGAGAATGTGAAATGTCAGAATAATAGTAGAGAGAATTATTTATTTCAGCTTTTATTTCTTTCATCACATTCCCAGTGGGTCAGAAGTTTACATACACTCAATTAGTATTTGGTAGCATTGCCTTTAAATTGTTTAACTTGGGTCAAACGTTTCAGGTAGCCTTCCACAAGCTTCCCACAATAAGTTGGGTGAATTTTGGCCCATTCCTCCTGACGGAGCTGGTGTAACTGAGTCAGGTTTGTAGGCCTCCTTGCTCGCACATGCCTTTTCAGTTCTGCCCACACATTTTCTATAGGATTGACGTCAGGGCTTTGTGATGGGCACTCCAATACCTTGACTTTGTTGTCCTTAAGCCATTTTTCCACAACTTTGGAAGTATGCTTGGGGTCATTGTCCATTTGGAAGACCCATTTGCGACCAAGCTTTAACTTCCTGACTGATGTCTTGAGATGTTGCTTCAATATATCCACATAATTTTCCTTCCTCATGATGCCATCTATTTTGTGAAGTGCACCAGTCTCTCCTGCAGCAAAGCACCCCCACAGCATGATGCTGCCACCCCCGTGCTTCACGGTTGGGATTGGTGTTCTTCGGCTTGCAAGCCAACCCCTTTTTCCTTGACATAACGATGGTCATTATGGCCAAACAGTTCTATTGTTGTTTCATCAGACCAGAGGATATTTCTCCAAAAAGTACGATCTTTGTCTCCATGTGCAGTTGCAAACCGTAGTCTGGCTTTTTTATGGCAGTTTTGGAGCAGTGGCTTCTTCCTTGCTGAGCGGCCATTCAGGTTATGTCGATATAGGACTCGTTTTACTGTGGATATAGATACTTTTGTACCCGTTTCTTCCAGCATCTTCACAAGGTCCTTTGCTGTTGTTCTGGGATTGATTTGCACTTTTTGCACCAAAGTACGTTCATCTCTAGGAGACAGAACGCGTCTCCTTCATGAGCGGTATGGTGGCTGCATGGTCCCATGGTGTTTATACTTGCGTACTATTGTTTGTACAGATGAATGTGGTATTTTCAGGCATTTTGTTTCCAAGGATGAACCAGGCTTGTGGAGGTCTAACAAATTTATTCTGAGGTCTTGGCTGATTTCTTTTGATTTTCCCATGATGTCAAGCAAAGAGGCACTGAGTTTGAAGGTAGGCCTTGAAATATATCCACAGCTACATCCCCAATTGACACAAATGATGTCAATTAGCCTATCAGAAGCTCCTAAAGACATTACATAATTTTCTGGAATTTTCCAAGCTGTTTAAAGGCACAGTCAACTTAGTGTATGTAAACTTCTGACTGACTGGAATTGTGATACAGTGAATTATAAGTGAAATAATCTGTCTGTAAACAATTGTTGGAAAAATTACTTGTGTCATGCACAAAGTAGAGGTCCTAACCGACTTGCAAAAACGATAGTTTGTTCATAAGAAATTTGTGGAGTGGTTGAAAAAATAGTTTTAATGACTCCAACCTAAGTGTATGTAAACTTCCGACTTCAACTGTATGTATGTTATGTGTAACATAGTAACTACATACAACATGCATGATACTACTAGTAACTTCACATAATAGGCCTTTATCAATCAGCCTGGAGTAGTGGTAATGTTGAGATAATGTTGTGGTAATGTAGCTCACCTGTGGAGGGGGCCTGGAAGGGACCACAGTGACAAACAGAGGGGTGCAGGCTTGTGTTGCAGATGACTCAATGAAGGTAGGTTGGCTGATTTGGAGGGGCTTGCTGAGAGGATTGCCCTTCCCACTCCTCTCCCGGAACATTGGGTTCAACTGTCCCGGGGTAGAATGGACTTTCCTTCAAAATACAGATCATACATAACACATCAATATGTTGATTGTGTACCAAATCATTCCAAATGACAACTGAAGAGGCATTCACAAAACAATGTTGGTGAAAAAAAAACTCACCTTTTGGAAATGTAGTTCTCTCTCTTGTCCTTCTTGCAGCACATCAGTCCTGCAACCAGGAAAGTGAGCAGCAACAATACAGCTATTGCTGCTGAGACGCCAGCTAACACCCCAAACTGGTCTGCAAAACCAAAACAGAACCAATCATTAACATGTTCATTTTTAGAAACTGTTCAGGTTTACCTTTACAAAATGTAACACATATCATATGAAATACATAAACAACAATGCATGTCACAACAGAGTGAATGAGGCATACCTTGAGGAAAGTCTGAATACTTGACGTCACAGTAAGGTGGAGCCCAACCTGAGCTACAGTGGCACTGTCCCTTGTTGTTGCACACCTAACAAAAGAGAGTGATGATTGTGATGACTAAGTCCATACAATTCTAGCGGAAGTTTACTAACAACTCAAAATCGACAATCAATGCACTCACCCCATTGTCGTGGCATTTTGATGAACAGTCCTCCATTTGACCATAGACTTTGACATCTTGGCATTTGTGATCATAGCAAACCTGTGGAAACAAAGAGGAACTGTTCACTTCATTCGCCCACTCATATGAATTCCATGAATTCCTATAGGCCCTCCTGAGGGATGATTTGGAATTCAGAAACAGTCTTACCTTATTCATTCCACATTTGGTTCCTGTTGGGACCATGTCGAGGGCTCTTATCTTATCCTGGTCCACTGCTATGTTGCATGTTCCCCTCATTGTATAGATGGCCTTCTGCCCAGTGATGGGATACTCATCTCCTCCCGAGCAAAATAGCGTTCCACATTTTATATTCCTAGGAGAAGAAAATAAAATGACTTAGTATTTGACGTCAAACTATGGCAACGTGTTTCTTAACACAAACTTATGGAAGTCTTGTAATAGCTGTTTTCTATTATTTGTAAATTGCCTTGGGAGGGACATTGTGGTCATATTGTGATGGGAAATGTCAGGAAATGGAAACGTCAAAAACACAGGAAGTCAGTGTGACAGATGGGAGTGGACATACTGTGGTGTGCAGCGCGCAAAGCCGTATTTGGTCCTTCCGCAGTGGGCTCCTTCAATGCCATCCAGGTTTAGATTAAAGCAGGAATCCGTGCCTACTTGTGCCGCTAGAAGATAAGAAAGAGATTAGATATTACTTTTGGGTTCCACAGGATATGACAGGGATCCTTACTGCAGATTGTCATCATTGCACAATTCACAATATGACATTCAACCTCCACTAACTGAATGAGATTATATCTAGGCCTAGTATGAAAAGAAAAAAAATGTATGCACTCACTAACTGTAAGTTGCTCTGGATAAGAGCGTCTGCTAAATGACTAAAATGTAAATGTAGTTATTTTCTGGAAGGGTTCTGCTTTGTGTTAATGAAATAACGTCATACGGTTATGGATGGTTACGCTGTGTCATAACTAGTGTAGTGTAAATTAATACATAATTTACAGATCCAGTTTTTCATTCTATGAGTGTAAGAAACATAATTGGCTATGTATTTAAAACAGTAAAGTACCTGGTCCCCACAGTCTCTTGCAGTGTTGCTGAAGTGTTGGGCATTGCCCATTGTAGCAGTAGCCCTGACCAGAGTTGCAAGGTTTCCCGTTCATCTTAAAGGTATCTTCTGGGCAATGCTCTGAAGTTCCAGTGCAATACTCTGCCAGATCACAATCACTGGAAGCTGTTCTACACAAACTGGCTGCCTGTTTAAGCTGAAAGTTGAATGGAGAACAAATAGTTCAGTTGTTGAGTAAGTAACTTCATAACAGATGAATAACTAATAAATCAGAATAATTACATTATTTGTACAGTGCTTTTTCAAACATTATGCTCAAAGCGCTAACTAAAATGTATGCTAGAAATCTGATACTACTACTATAGCAAAGTGTATGATTATTGGTTAGATGCCAAGTTTGGTTCATACAGTACATATTTTATTTGATGACTGACTAGGCCCGCTTCTTACAGTCCCGACTGTCATATTGAGGAAAGATATGGACAGTACAGTACAGGGAAACACAAGAGCATCAGTCCGTTTCCTGGTATTATTGCTAGTATCCAAACCCTGGTTTCTCAATCCACCCATCTGTTCTTTATGGAGCCAAGCCCTACTTCTCTTTTGGCTATGTGGTTATTAGTTGCAGTTGGTTGGGTGTGTCTGTCTGAGTGTTGGTGAGCTGAGAGAGATCAGAGATGGATGTTACCAGCTGGTCTGACTCATTCAATCATACGTTTAATAAAGCACCCAGATTTAAAAATGCACGCACTTGGCAGTTTTCGCAGCATTTTCCATGAGCACAGCTGGATCCCTCAGTGAGGCGACAGGTAGAGGGGTCACAGCAGGGATTCTTACACTCCTGGGAGGGACAAAAGACACACCAGTCTGAGACAACATATAAAATAACTATTTCATCTTACCAGTCAAATGAAAAATGTATAAAAGTCAGTCATCCATAAAATGTCATTTACGGTGCAAAGCATTCATGCATGTGTATATTTTGTCTCCCTTTCATAAGCTTTTGCAAAGTTTTGTCATCCTTATAACAAAGCCAAACCTTTGATTGAGTCAGAGGAATATTGTAAGACAATATAATCAATGCCAGTGCACCTATGCGGAGCCTGACTTACCTCCACAGTTCCACAGTCGCACTCCTCTCCAGGGTCCAGGAAGGCATTGCCACAGGCAGGCCCCACATACAGCCTGTCAGAGCCAGGTGTGTCCAGCAGACAGCTGGGATTGGCTCTCTCCAGGAAGTCACTCAGCTGCTCCTGACTGCAGCCACTGAACAGCTCTGGGTACACTGACCTGAAAGTGTGGGAATGTTGGCTCACTTTAGAATGACTAACATAATAACATAGGAAATGCCTCAATGTGTGAGTGAATGTATTTTTGTATTTACCTGAGCCGATCTGCCATGACACAGTTGTCGTTGTACAGCGATGTCCCACAGGTGCAGCCTGAAATATCATGGGACATGCCCAGGTTGTGGCCCATTTCATGAGCGATGGTCGAGGCAATGCCAATTGGGTTCCTGTTGTGGTCCTGGTTGACTGCACCTGAACTTCCAGTGCACATGGCAAGTTTATTTGCCAGTCCGACAGTATCGCCCAAGAAATCTTTACCACTGTTGAAAACAACAACAAAATGTTGGGGAAAAGCTTTAGAACCGTGATTAGCTTTGCAAACCACACAAAAGTAGACATTTGTCCATCGTTACAATATTATGCATTAAAAACAACATTTTATATTAATTTTTCACAGCACGTAATACCAAACAATAATGTAATGGAAATGTTTTGATTCATTGCAATCCAGTTCCTTTCATCTCAACACAAACAATAAAGATAAGGCTAATTACTCACGTGACGAACTGGGCATTGTCATGCTTTCCCCTCTTTAGAAGGTCGTCTTGACGCCACTTGAGAAACCTATCCAGGGTATTCTCAGGACTGGCTGTGACGTCAATGTGATCCCTAGTAGTCCACATCTCCAACCCCACCAGCATGATCCGGATGTTCAATGGCCGATACAACTAGGAAGCAGAGACAGAGGTCTTTTCAATAACTCCTTCATGAATATAAGATATACGTACTAGAGCTAGGGGAGAAAACTCCTGGCCCTAAGCCCTGATTATAACAGTAAGCGATTCAATATAGTATCTTAAGAACCTATAACTAAAGCCTGGACCTGGTCAGGAAAATCTCCTGGCCCTAACTATGCTTATACAGCCATTCACATATAACATCACACACAAGTAGATTACTTCCTTGAAAAGGTACCTTATCAACATGATTGGCAATTTCCAGCATCCGAGCTTTGGTCTCGCTTCCATATTTTTTGTACTGAAAAAACAACACACATATACTGAACAAAAATATAAATGCAACAATTTCACTGAGTTACAGTTCATCTAAGGAAATAATAAACCATAAATCTGTTGATACATTGAAACAAATAATAAACCATAAATCTGTTGATACATAAGAAAGACACTATAAAATGTATATGTTGATACATAACATACCTCTGTGTAGTCAGCCACCAGATACATCTCCACAAATCTTTGAGGCCCAGTGATGGGTTTACTTTTCTAAAAAAAGAAAAAAAGTGAGATAAGAAAACATTGGACTCTCCTTACACGATAAATACAACTGGTAGAAAACATTAACCCTATCTTTGGATGTGTATTGTTGCAACTAAGTAATAAAAAGGAAGCAGTAGTAAGAAACTGCATACCCAGCCTTTGGACTTGAAGAGGCCTGAGAGTCTGGGGGCCGGGTCCTGGTCGTGGTCATAGACAGTGCTGTCGTTGGAGTGACCACAGCTGGTCTTGTTGGCTCTGAGGTGCTCCTGCCTGTACAGAGCATGCTCCCCATCGGCAGAGTCTCCTAAAGGCTCGATCAGGTAGACCTTCTGCTCAGCCCTCACAAAGCCACTGGAAAAACACATCAGCGAGCGGTTTTCTGAGTGTTGCATTGCAAAGCACGGACAATTAGTTTCTCCCCAATTAAAATAGCATTGTTCCTCCAATTATATGATATACTATGAATAATCAACATCAAAAGGCAGTAAGCTATTCAGTATAGCAACTCTAATCATTGTCTTGTAGGTGAAATGTCACCAGAGGCTATGCCATTAAAAGACAGGTACATTTCTAAATATGTAAGACCGCTTTCAAAATGATTTCAACCACAAATTTCTCAGTTATTCGTATTACACATCTGTTGAAATGTAGCAATGTTGAATTTCTCAAATGAGAAGTTGGATTTCCTGAGAAATGTATTGATTGCCAACTAGTTCAGAAAGTTCAGAAACTGCTGATAGAAAACAGGAATATGCTGAAATCTCACTTACCTAATGCCAGAACAGATTCCAACACTAACGGATGAATCCTCAATGCCTTTAATATGACCATGATAATAGCAGTGGTCCTAAAGGAAGTTGAAATTAGTAAAAGTATTGGTTTAGAGCTTATCTTGAAATACTGTACACAAATCTGCACAAAGTGACAAATTTAGGCTATTATATTTAAAGGCTTAGATACCTCATAATTTGGAAATGTTGTCACCCGGTTTCCATCTTCTGAATAGTGTGTTTCAGTGTAATGCTTCCCAATTAATTGCCTATAAAAAGAACAATAGAACAAGTCATATAACTGCTACTAAACTTGCTACCAAAACACATATATTAATTAATGGATGGTTAAAAATAATGTACCTATTTTTGTCAAGATGAATTGTGTGGTTCTCTCCAGAAATGGTTAATACATATTGTAGCTCATCAGGATAAACCTAGGGAAGATTTTATTAGTTGTCAACAATGAAAAGCTGTTCTGCTTTTTATAACATCCCCCTCTTCATTGGGGATTTGAAATACTGTATTTCCCTAATTTACAGGAACCACTATTAAATATTTATAGAGAAAAGATAACGGGATGTAAGCACCTGGTTTGAGAAAATGTTTCTTTTGACCCGACCAGTCAGTCTCTGAGGTCGGACCACATCGTAGCGCTCCACGTGATCTAATGTCCGTGCGCCCTTGACCAGTACAACTAAAATAACAGACATCCAGACCTATTTTAACACTAATCTATTTCTTAGTAATTGTTATTCATTTAAAGTCTAGACATTGATCATACGACGAGCATCATACGAGTTATAAACATTGCAATGTTATGTCTAAATGCGTTATTAGCCTAACAGATGGGCTAATGAGGTAGCCTAACTGTCCTTATAAATACAGTAATGTACAGCAAAATACACATTTTTGTATTTCATTCAATTGTTCATAATAAATAACTTCAGATAGTAAATATTAAACCATAATTATATATGTTTAACTTACCACAATACGTGATGCATAACAGGAATGTATATAGAGTGTATCGCATGGCTGGAGCGTAATATCCCTGAGTTTCTCAAGTGTGCTGTATTGCACAGATACTGAACACAGAAATTAAGCAGCTCTGTAAACTACCAGTCCCGCCTCTCCGTTATGTAGCCTACGTTATCAGCAAGGGGCAGACGTTCCGCGTAGCAATCATGACATCACATATTACCGGAAAACCGGTCCAGATTATTAATACTGTTTACGGTCACCTAGGAATGGTTAAATTATGTAAGCAAAGTTCACAAAGAGAATGCTTGGGGGACATTTCGTATATATTTTTTATTGTACAATAAAACACCAAAACATTTTTAATGAGGTAAAACATAAGTTACCCATATAGAGGTCCAGGTTTTTTTTACTTATTCTGAGAAAAATGCATACAGTTCATGGTAATTTAATCCTATGCCCCTATAAAAGGTAAAGGGGAAAACACCATATAGCCATTTTAAAAACACAACATCTATGGTGATAGTTTCTTGAATCAAACACTAAACAGCTTTATGTCTGACAGCTTTATGTTTGATGTGGAGAAGAATGTCGTCTTTGAAGTTGGTTTTTATATGGGCACAAGTAGGATAAATAAATACTTATATAGTGTGGGTGACCATCATGCACACTCGCATAAAAAAATGCTACGCAGCAGCCTTCTGACTTCTCTCTATAGCCATCCTCTCAAGACGCTCTGTGTAGAACCCGTTGAAATCCAACCTATGGAATCAAGTTCAAAGCAGTTTTTACTAGGATTGTAACTGTAGCTTAGCCTATCCATTTAAGCAACTAACTAGGATCTATAGACCAGGGGTTCCCAACTCAGGTCCTGGGCCCTTTTTCCTCAAGAGCATCTTAAAGGGAGATTTCTAAATGTTTCACTTCATATTCATCATCCCCAGCACCACCCCAACATCAACATATGTGAAAATAAGTGTTTCCAATGACATCAACCAATTATTAGACAATTAGTAGGCAATGCCTACTCATAATTGGTTAAAATCACACAATGCACACCGATGAGGTCATTGGAAACACTTATCTTCCTCTACCTTTTTTTTTTACCACAAAACATAATTAGAAACCTGCAATTTTCACATATGCTGATGTTGGGGTGGTGCTGGAGATGATGAATATGAAGTTGAAACATTTAGAAATGTCCCTTTAAGGCTAGGTTCATCGTTAGAACCTTCATATGAGCATCGTTAAATCTCAGAGCTATTTCCCAAAACCATATAGCAGTTGTTGTACTTGAAAACGCTCGTAATCTAACGGCTACTTCAGATCACTCGTAGAACAGCTAAGTGCGTCCTTAGTTGCTTTTTTGCCCTCCCACGTTACTTTACACATAGAAGATCTCCACTAAACATAGAATCACATGGTTTATCAGTCTCTCTGTGACCTTGATAACTTCCGAACAAAGTTGACTACAAATACAAAGTTGCCAACGTCTTTGCAATTGATACAAACAAGCAACGTATATTTTGAAATGAAAACTGAGATGACTGCATTAAAATATAAACAGTAAGCTATAGGCCTATGTTCAATCAATTGAGTTCTATGGTGCTACTTGTAGGCTACATATTTCATGATGTGTAGCCTAACGTGCGCAATTATGTGCCAAATCTGTGATATTTATTGGGTAAGCATTAGAATAAGCAGCCTGAATGTTTGGAGCCGTAGGTGGTAATCTCTCTCTAGGAGCTGATCCGTCGTCAGTATTGTGAAATAATTATAATGTTAAGGAAATATTTGTATGGAGAAAGCTGATCCGAGAGCAGCACTTCCTTTTTTTCGATCCTATCAATATCGACACATGCTCCAACAACACACTTAGCGACCGTTCTCTCTGCATGGTGTTTTAGGAAGGGCATGTTACATCTTTAACCGTTGTAGGAAAGATGCATTGTTAATAACCCTCGTAAGCCTAAGTTCCATTAATATCAGGAAACCAGGCCCTGAAGAGGTATGGGGTTTGCAGGATTTCTTTCCAGCCCAGCACTAACACATCCTTTTCAAATAACCAACTTATTACGGTCTTCAGTCTGGACCTTGATCAGTTGAATCATCTCTCCAGTACCAGAGTTGGAGATAAACCTTGGCCCGGTTTCCCAAAAGCATCTTAAGGTTAAGTTCATCGTAAGAACCTTTGTAGGAGCATTGTTAAATCTCCAAGGTGTTTCCCAAAACCATCGTTACTAAAGTTGCACTTGAAAACGCTCGTTATTTACCGACTGCCTCAGACCACACGTAGAACAGCAATTGTCGTTAGATCATTTTTTTGCCCTTCCACGTCACTTTATACACAGAAAGTCATTCATCTGTCTCTCTGTGACAACTTCAGAACGAAGTTGCCAATGTCTTTGTAATTGTTACAAACAAGCAAAGGATAACATTATGCTTGAAAATAAAAACAGATGACTGCATTTAAAGATAAATACAGTAGGCTATATAGGCCTATATATTTAAATCCTTTTTATATTCATAATTGTAGGCTACTGCCTGTCATTTTTGCCTTAATGTATTTCATGATGTGTAACATGTCCACAATGATGTGCCAAATCTAAGATTCAGTGCATTATTATAGGGTAGGCTAAGCATTCGAATAAGCTTCCTCAATATTTGCAGCCATATGGGTGATAACATATCTCTAGGAGCTGATCCGTCGTCAGCAGCGTGGAATAATTACAATGTTAAGGTAAGATGTGAATGGAGAAAGCTGATCTGAGCGCAGCGCTGCCTTTCTTTCGATCCCACCAGTATCGACACATGCTCCAACGACGCACTTAGTGAAAGTTCTTTCTGCGTGGTGTTTTTGGGAAACACACGTTACCTCTTCGGCCGTTGTAGGGACGATGCAATGCTAAAATACTTGTAAGTCTAAGTTCCATCGCTATCGGGAAACCGGGCCCTGTGCAGTAGTACACCCACCTGTAGATTATGTTAATCATGCTGTGCTCACAGTCATTGGTGCTGTAGATGCTGAGCTTGTCAAGAAGGTCCAGTAGCAGTGTACTGAAGTTGCTGTCGAACTTGCTGATGGTGGCTTCGAAGCCTGCGTCTGACTGCAGGGCATCCACGTGCTCCGCTAGGAACTGACGACGTGGGAAACGACATAGGTAAGACACTTGCTGATTGGGGAATAGCATATCACATCATCAATCATGCTATATTTGATAGATAGTATTTGAGACAGAATACAAATGCTAATTGCCATCATTACAATTCCACTGTATTTGGTTGTTGTTCTATATAACATACTCAGGTAAAACACCTATTGTAATACAGGTTTTTACCTTTGAAAGCACTGCTACAAGTTGTTTAGAGTAGTGAGTATCTTCTGTATATGAGTGAGTATGTGTATAGTTACCTTGGAGGTGAGCCTCTTCTTCTCTTGCTCCTCGGTGCGTTCGCTCTGGGTGGGAGGACCCTCCATGGTGCCATGCTCCAGAGACAGACGGTTCATCTCCCGGTCCAGCTTCATGCTCTGGGTGAAGCGCTACACCAGGAAATACAGTGCATTCGGAAAGTATTCAGACCCCTTGACCTTTTCCACATTTTGTTACAGCCTTATTCTAAAATGGATTCAATTATTAATTTTTCCCTCATAAATCTACACACAATACCCCATAATGACAAAGCAAAAACAGTTTTTTTTAAATGTTTGCCAATTTACTAACAATATAAAACTGAAATATCACATTTACATAAGTATTCAGACCCTTTACTCAGTACTTTGTTGAAGCACCTTTGGCAGCCATTACAGCCCGAGTCTTCTTGGGTATAACGCTACAAGCTTGGCACACCTGTATTTGGGGAGTTTCTCCCATTCTTCTCTGCAGATCCTCTCAAGCTCTGTCAGGTTGGATGGGGAGCGTCGCTGCACAGCTATTTTCAGGTCTCTCCAGAGATGTTCGATTGGGTTCAAGTCCGGGCTCTGGCTGGGCCACTCAAGGACATTCAGATACTTGTACCGAAGCCACTCCTGCGTTGTCTTGGCTGTGTGCTTAGGGTCGTTGTCCTGTTGGAAGGTGAACCTTCACCCCAGTCTTAGGTCCTGAGCGCTCTGGAGCAGGTTTTCATCAAGGATCTCTCTGTACTTTGCTCCGTTAAATCTTTCCCTCGATCCTGACTAGTCTCCCAGTCCCTGCCGCAGAAAAACATACCCACAGCATGATGCTGCCACCACCATGCTTCACCGTAGGGATGGTTCCAGGTTTCCTCCAGACGTGATGCTTGGGATTCAGGCCAAAGAGTTCAATCTTAGTTACATCAGACAAGATCATCTGGTTTCTCATGGTCTGAGAGTCCTTTAGGTGCCTCTTGGAAAACTCCAAGCAGGCTGTCATGTACCTTTTACTGAGAAATGGCTTCCATCTGGCCACTCTACCATAAAGGACTGATTGGTGGAGTGCTGCAGAGATGGTTGTCCTTCTGGAAGGTTCTCCCATCTCCACAGAGGAACTCTGGAGCTCTGTCAGTGACCATCGGTTTCTTGGTCACCTCCCTGACCAAGGCCCTTCTCCACCGATTGCTTTGGCCGGGCGGCCAGCTCTAGGAAGAGTCTTGGAGGTTCCAAACTTCTTCCATTTAAGAATGATGGAGGCCACTGTGTCCTTGGGGACTTTCAATGCTGCATACATCTTTTGGTAAAATTCCCCAGATCTGTGCCTCGACACAATCCTATGTCGGAGCTTTACGGACAATTCCTTCAACCTCATGGCTTGGTTTTTGCTCTGACATGCACTGTCAACTGTCGGACCTTATATAGACAGGTGTGTGCCTTTCCAAATCATGTCCAATCAATTGAATTTACCACAGGTGGCTTCCAATCAAGTTGTAGATACATCAAGGATGATCAATGGAAACAGGATGCACTTGAGCTCAATTTCGAATCTCATAGCAAAGGGTCTGAATACTTATGTAAACAAGGTATTTATTTTTTATTTTTTATAAATTAGCAAACATTTCTAAAAACCTGTTTTCGCTTTGTCATTATGGGGTATTGTGTGTAGATTGATGAGGAAAACAATTAATTTAATCAATTTTAGAATAAGGCTGTAACGTAACAAAATGTGGAAAAAGTCAAGGGGTCTGAATACTTTCCGAATGCACTGTAGACACATTTAATAAGGATCAGCAGTGAGAGACACTGTATAGTCAGTCATACACGGCACACTGGGGGGGAAAGAAGCCTACATATCATAATACTGCAGTCAGATTATCTAATGTGCACGAGTTGCATGTCAATAAACGTTACATGTAAGCTACAACAAGCTGCCATGACAGTCCCGGTTTTGTAGTTTGCGTTCCACATCCACTAACCTGCATGCAGTTGGTGAACATGACACACACGGACATGAGCTTGGAGAAGATCTTGAGCAGCTCTGGGTTGGTCAGCATGCAGTCCTTCAGGCAGTTGTCCAGGAAGCTGGTGTGATGACACAGCACGTCGTCTATGTTGGAGGCCTGAGGAAGACAATATGGACTCTATTATGACATTCCTGATCAATGCAGGGCTTGGGACTGTTACGACAGTGTGCACTAAACCGCAGCATGCAGTAATTAGTAATGTACATGAAAGTACATTTAATTGGGACTGGAAAAACTGTTTGACCACAACAATCTTGGGTCAAAGCAAAGTAAAGCCTCATGGCTGACATTTGTAATGAATGCCACTACTACAATATGCACAGAACAATTATGTTAGAAGCAGCTATAGGCTAATACAAGATAGCACTGAATGCTATCAAGGTGAAAAGCAGCCTTGGTTACATTCCACTTACAGATTTCAAGTTCTTCTCCATGATGTGCCAGGTGGGCTCCATGACTTCAAACATCATGTAGTACTGGATGTTCTGAACAAAGTTCAGCATGCGCTGTCTCAAGGCAAACGCTGTTGCAAACCTAGAGGGAGGAGGAAACCAGATAGCTCATATCAGAACTTGATATTAGGAAGCTGGTACTAGAGAAACAAACAAGGAAGTTAACTGAAGGAGTTTTGTCAACTCACCACTTGGCCCTGTGCAAGGCGTACTGCTTGGCTGTTTTGTTGCTGATCCAGACGTTGCACAACAGCCTCTCGACATGTTTGCAGTAAAATATGTGTCGGAAGAGCATCTGGTATCTCGTCAGCGCTTTCCTGAAGAAGAAAAAATAAAATAAAAGAACCAGGTCATACTGAGGTCAGAAGACCTCTTTCCCAAGGGAGACCTGTCCTTGGATATAGCCAGTATACCTACCTGTTGATGATGAGCGACAGCGGCCACTTGACGATGTAGTCGAAGGAGAAGGCCTCCAGGCCGCTGAGGGCCACCTCAGTGGGGTCGGCATTGATGATGGCCTTCTCCTGCTTGGTCTCGATGGCCAGCACCCGCAGCAGCTGGGTGATCACGTCATGAGGCATTAGGTCAATCTGGGAAACAGGAACAGAGGGTGGGTGGATGAGTTCAGTGTAAAGCCCCTCACAAAACAGTCACATTACATACTGGTTGTTTAACTTAGTATTTTATATGTATAGCCTATAGACAATTGTGATTCTGCCCTTCAGCAATTTTATATTACTGTGCTTAAGTGCAGCTATAAGAAATGGTCTAATGCAGTAAACAGCAATGACACCATTTGAATAAGAAGATCATAAATTACTTTAGGTTCACTTTAAAGTAGTCAACAGTGCCCCCAGCTGCTGTATTATTTAGTATTCTTCATTGGGATCCCCAATTAGCCAACACAACAAATAAAATACATAATAGAATAACATTATATACATAACACTGCGCCAACTGCTTGAACAGACAGTTCGGTACCTTCAACACATCAACACCTCACACAAAGACCAATAGCGATGCTGTCAATCTCTCCTCAACTTTGAGCCAGGAGAGATTGACATGCATGTTACTGACATTCACCCTCCCTGTACATTAAGTGCAGTATGTGCTACTCTGTTCTGGACGAACTGCAATTTACCTATGTCCCTCTTTGCCACATGACCACACAACTGGGCAGTAGTCCAGGTGCAACAAAACTAGGGCCTGTATGACCTGTCTGGTCGACTGAGATGTCAAGAAAGCAGAGCAACGCCTTATCATGGACAGACCTCTTCCCATTTTAGCAACCATTGAGTCTATATGTTTTGACCATGACCGCTTGCTATCTAGGGTTACACCCAGCAGTTTAGTCTCCTGAACTTGCTCAATCGCCACATTATTCAATAATAGAGCTAGATGAGGTTTAGGGTTGAACGAGTGATTTGTCCCAAAAACGATGCCTTTAGTTGTTTTTTTTTTATATTCAGCACCAGCCTATTGCTAGTTACCCATTTAAAACTGACTGGATGTTAAGGGTTCATTGATTTATTTTAGTGTAATAGCCGACATATATACCGTTGAGTCGTCAGCGTACATAGACTGACACACAGACTTTATTCAAGGTCAGTGGAAGGTCATTAGTAAAAACGGAAAACAATAATGGCCCAAGCCGGCTGCCCTGCGGTACACCACACTCAACCGAATGTGTCCTATTAGATAGGTAACTCTCAATCCATGATAAGTGAAAGGATACAAATCCATAACACCTACGTTTTTTCAGCAATAGGTTATGATCAATGATCTCAAAAGCTGCACTGAAGTCTAACAAAACAGCTCCAACAATCTATCAATTTCTTTCAGCCAATTATTTGTGTCAGTCCTGAGCATGTTGAGTGCCCTTCCCTATAAGCATGCTGAATGTCTGTTGTTAAAATAACTTTGTATTTGGTCAAACATAATTTTTTTCAAAAGTTTGCTATGTGCCGGTAACAGGCTGATTGGTCGGCTGTTTGATCCGGTGCTCTGCTATTCTTGGGCAGCGGAATGACGTTTGCCTCCCTCCAGGCCTGAGGGCACACACCATCTTCTAAGCTTACAGTGAAGATGAGGCAAACAGGAGTCGCAATGTATTCCGCTACCAACCTCAGCAATTTACCATCCAGGATGTTGGTACCAGGTGGCTTGTCCTTATTTATAGATAGCAACAATTTTTTCACCTCTTCCACTCCCACTTTGCGGAACTCAAAACTACAGTGCTTGTCTTTCATTATTTGGTCCATTATGTATGAATATGAAGGCTCAGCGTTTGATATTTGCATGTCATACCTAAGTTTGCTAATCTTCTCAACAAAAACATTATTAAAAAGGTTGGCAATATCATATGGTTTTGTTATGAACAAGCCATCTGCCTCAATGAAGGCGCCTGCCTGATGAATGATGGAGCAGAGTTTGCTTTTTTACCTACAATTTCATTTAAGGTACTCCAGAGCTTTTTACTATCATTCTTTATATCATTTACAGGCCTCCTGTAGCTCAGTTGGTAGAGCAAGGTGCTTGCAACGCCAGGGTTGTAGGTTCGATTCCCACGGGGGCCAGTATGAATAATGTGTGCACTCACTAACTGTAAGTCGCTCTGGATAAGAGCGTCTGCTAAATGACTAAACTGTAAATGTAAAAAACGTATATTTGATCCATAGTATAGTTTCTTATTTTTGTTTAGTTAAGTGATTTCTCAATTTACTGTATGTTTGCCAGTCTGCTGTGTTGTCAGACTTATTTGCTATTCCCTTTGCCTCATCCCTCTCAGCTATACAGTTTTTCAATTCATCATCTACAGTGCATTCGGAAAGTATTCAGACCCATTGACTTTTTCCACATTGTTACGTTACAGCCTTATCCTAAAATTGATTTTATTATTCCCCCCCCCCTCATCAATCTACCCACAATACCCTATAATGACAATGCAAAAATGTCACAAAAGAAACTATTTTCGCAAATGTTTTAAAAATAAAAAACTGAAATATCACATTTACATAAGTATTTAGACCCTTTGATATGAGACTCGAAATTGAGTTTGTTTCCATTGATCATCCTTGAGATGTTTCTACAACTTGATTGGAGTCCACCTGTGGTAAATTCAATTGATTGGAAAGGCACACACCTGTCTATATAACGTCCCATAGTTGAGAGTGCATGTCAGAGCAAAAACCAAGCAATGAGGTTGAAGGAGTTGTCCGTAGAGCTCCGAGACAGGATTGTGTTGAGGCACAGATCTGGGGAAGGGTACCAAAAAATGAGAAGTGGTGAGAAGGGCCTTGGTCAGGGAGGTGACCAGAAGGACAACCATCTCTGCATCACCACCAAATCAGGCCTTTATGGTAGAGTGGCCAGATGGAAGCCACTTCTCAGTAAAATGCACATGACAGCCCGCTTGGAGTTTGCCAAAAGGCACCTAAAGGACTACAAGATTCACTGGTTAGATGAAACCAAGATTGAACTCTTTGGCCTGAATGCCAAGCATCACGTCTGGAGGAAACCTGGCACCATCCCTACGGTGAAGCATGGTGGTGGCAGCATCATGCTGTGGGGATGTTTTTCAGTGGCAGGGACTGGGAGACTAGTCAGGATCGAGGGCAAGATGAACGGAGCAAAGTACAGAGAGATCCTTGATGAAAACCTGCTCCAGAGCGCTCAGGACCTCAGACTTGGGTGAAGGTTCACCTTCCAACAGGACAACGACCCTAAGCACACAGCCAAGACAACGCAGGAGTGGCATCGGGACAAGTCTCTGAATGTCCTTGACTGACCCACCCAGAGCCCGGACTTGAACCTGATCGAACATCTCTGGAGAGACCTGAAAATAGCTGTGCAGCGACGCTCCCCATCCAACCTGACAGAGCTAGAAAGGATCTGCAAAGAAGAATGGGAGAAACTCCCCAAATACAGGTGTGCCAAGCTTGTAGTGTCATACCCAAGAAGACTCGAGGCTGTAATCACTGCCAAAGGTGCTTCAACAAAGTACTGAGTAAAGGGTCTGAATACTTATGTAAATGTAATATTTCCGTTTTTTATTTTTGCAAAAATGTCTAAAACCTGTTTTAGCTTTGTCATTATTGGGTATTGTGTGTAGATTGATGAGGGGAAAAAACAATTTAATCTATTTTAGAATAACGCTGTAACGTAACAAAATGTAGGAAAAGTCAAGGGGTCTGAACACTTTCCGAATGCACGGTATGAATGTGGATTTGGCAGTTCTAACAGTTTCTTGATGGGCGCATGCCTGTGTGGCATCAGACCAACAAATCTTTTTCACATCTTCGACATAGGAATCATTGCAAAACCTCTAGTATGATCGCTTATACAATTTTAGGTTCAGTTTTTGGAACTTTGGTTTTTATAGATATGGCTATTCTATTATGATCACTACATCTGATGGGTGTGGATACTGCTTTAGAGCAGATTTCTGCAGCATTAGTAAAGATCTGATCAATACACGTGGATGTTAAGTGAATTATTTAACAAACTATTTTAGTGTCTCTGTGCGTCTCCCAAAAGGTTGTAAGTCTTTTGGGATTTAAGTAACGGCCAGAGTCCCGGTCTGCATAGTCAGAGATATTTATTCATTGAGAATTCTGCCATCACAATTTCAGAGTCCATCTTTTATACTCATACGTCATACAAAAAGAAATCCCTCCCCTCTGTAGGCGGGCTGTAGTTTTCCACTCTAAAACTGCTCTACTGACCTTCAGTTCACACACACATATACACACATGCATACACACATACATACACACACACACACACATACATATCCTACGCCCTGCATTACTCAGTTATTGCCGTTCTCACAATATTCTGCACCATGTTTTCATAACAGTTTCTCCCCTCCCTAAATTGGGAGGCCTCTTTATCTTAGTTTCTCAGTTGTCTTTGTTGTCTGGCCTAACTCTTACTCACATTGCTAAATAGTGGCTCAATGCCATAGCCTTTACTGGTCCTACACTCACACATTTCTAACACATTATACACAGTTTCAGGGTGTAATAATTAGTCATTAATAATTAATCTATCAGTGGATGATTTAGTTCCTATTCTGTTTGTAAATACCCTGGTAGGTTGACTGATAAACTGAACCAGATTTCTAGCATTGGTTACAGCTTGAAGCTTCTTTTTGAGTTGACAGCTTGAAGACAACCAGTCAATATTTAGGTCACCCAGAAAATATACCTGTTGATTTCACATATATTATCGAGCATTTTAAACATATAGTTTAAATACTGACTTTTTTGTACTCTGTGGTCTATAGCAACTTCCTATGAGAATAGGAGGCAGATGAACCTGTAGCCATATTACTTCTACATCATCTGACATGTGCTCCTCTCTCAGCCTAACAGGAATATGTGACTCACCACCTGGATTTGGTCTTGTGTAGCAAAATATGAAATGCTGTTTTTTTTTTTACATTGGATAAAAGTACAGACTCAGAGCTACAAAATGGTATATCATACACTGCAAAACACTTTTTAGGAACAATGGGAAAGTAATTCTGCTTTGAAAGTTGATAAACTTGTAAACTCACTTTTGATAAAATGGCATTTGAATGTTTTGG